CCCGCGCTCAGGCTTTGAAAAGCAGCTGCAGCCCTTCACGGAGCAGCATCTCCCCGAACGCATGAAGTGGCAGCACAAGAAGAAGGAGGTTACAGAGGCATTGATTGTCCTGTCCCTGGATGGGTCCAGAGATGGGTGCCGCTCGCATGGTTTTTGTTTGCACTTTGCCTTGTGAAGGTTCCCTTCGAAAAGCTGCCACGCCGCTTGCTTCGAGCCCGACGGTGGCGTGTGGTGGAAAGCTGGGATGATTCTTTTCACAGCAGTATGGGCTGGAGCCATGCGAAGCTAGTCTGCTTTGAACAAAGCTTCCGTGGCCATGCTCTGCTGTTGCCACGGATCATGAAAAGGGAACTGTGTTTCGAAGACTGCCCTGAACATTCGCTAAGGAAGTGGGTGGTGGAGGCAGAGGATGGGTGCAGATTTGTCTTCTCGCGAGACTGTGACTGAGACTTGGATGCGCGCAGTGTGCAAGAGTTGCATCGAGAAACGGTGTGCCAGAAAGAGGTGCCACAGGGCAGTGTGGGCACCTGGCTCCTTCAGAAACAGGTGGCAAAAGCTGAGCTCGAAAAGCTGAAGGCCGAGCACCCCAGCAGGCCCAGAAGGTCGATGCAGCTTGAGGGGTTTGGTGTGGACGTGGTGGCGCATCGTGGTTAGACCCTGGAAAGGGCTCGTTGCACCTGCGCGTGCGCCTACAGCGTGCGCGTGGATGCCAGCTTCGGTGGCACGTGGTGCAATAACTGTCCATCGGGAGGTTGCTCTGTTTCGTTGACAGGAACAAGTTGCACGAGGCTTTCACAAGAGCAGCACAGAGATTGAAGCAACAAAGATCCCGGGATTGGACAACATCGACGCTTCCGCGGATCACCAGGTTTGCAGGCTCCAGAGGAAAGTGGTGCCCCACTTGTCGATGACCATGTGCCTGCAATGATCTTCGGCCCCCAGAGACTGTCTTCTTCCCGACCGGCCGATGGCATGGGCTTCTGCCGCTATACCGCAGTCGTGCTCTTGGCTTCTTTTGCATGGCCTGAGCTCGCTCCTGACGGTGTTGGCAAAGGCTTCGTTGCTTCTGCATCCTCTCAGCAGTACGAAGGCACTTTGCGAAAGTCCACGACACTTCGGTCGGCCCAAATCAAGAAGATCATCTTCACCTTCTTCATGTCACAACCCCAGGATCCAGGTGCTCGTGACTCGCACTCGCCTTGGTGCTGACGTCCACTGGAGGGCAGCTGGCCGTTCGGCTCCCAGTGACCGACCCGAAAGCCGTTGATGGGAAGCTCTCGGAGACCGCATATGACGCAGTTCATCGGGATGAGGGCTCACATTCACGGAATCGGCAGGCAATGGCCTGTACCATTCAGTGAACTCTGCACTCTGCGAGCTGCCGGAACAATTCGCCCGAGAACATGGGACTCAGCATCGCGCTGCAGCACAGAGCAGCCTGTACAGAGCAGACTTCCCAGCATCAGCATGTTTCAGGATGCCGCCCTAAATTCCGAAGTCATCCGCTCGCACCAGTCCGGGCAAGAGGTGGAAGCTGGTGCACCTGGGTTTACGACCTTTTCCTTTCACGTCCCTGGCTGGTCTAGAGAGTCGCGTGGGCGAGTCGTGCGTTGCTTGGTGTAGCCGTAGCCAACAGCGTTCGAATGTACAACAGCGTTCTTGTGAGCTGGGTGGGTTTCGCTTCTTCACGGAGAAGATCTCGTCTCCGAGCATCCAAGACTGGTATCTGGCCCTCACAGTGCCTCTACCGAGCCGAGACCCGAAGGTTGCAGGCTACTGCCGACTGAAAGTTCCGGCGACTTCGTTGGTTCTTAAGTGGGAGGCTAGCTGTGCATAGGCTTTTCACATCCCTCGAAGCGTCTGAGTCTCCCAGAAAGCTGCAGCAGGAAAATCGTTCTAGCTTGAAGTGTGCCCGAGCATTGAGTTGTTTTCTCGTGACGCACGTCTCAGTACGACCTCTCGAGCACTTCGGCCGCCCTCTACCCTTGGCCTGCTGACCCTGTTCTGCAGCCGAGGCCTCTGCCCTGAGGCGGCGCTCACAGGCGGTGATGGGTGCCAGGGGCTGAGGGACAGCAGAGCGTCCTGGGTTGTACGTGGTGAATCGCTCGCTCGAAAGATGGAGCATGCAACTACGGCTCCTACAACACTACACTAGCAACCACAACAACAACCACGCTGCTGCTGCTGCTTCAGCTGCTGTTCATGACGACCACAGACGCTGTCACTATCGTTTTTGCGTCCCTGATTTGCGGCTGTCCAGTCAGCCATAATCAGCCATTTGCCGAGGCTTTAGACCTCACACGCAGCAGAAGCCAGGGAGGAGGCTGTTTGTCCGCCTATTGATTCTGGTCGCATCGTTTTGCTTCGGTCGGATCGGTGGGGTGTGAGAACTCCATAAACCGCCATCTTCATCATGATCCTCGGCAATGTTGCCGAGTTTCCGTCCTGATTGACAGAGAAGGGTTGAGAGTTCAGACATGCGGAATGCAATCTGATGTCCTGTGTTCATCCTTTGTTCCCATCAGTCTTCTGTTCTGTTGTACTGAGCGTGCTCGACTCAGTTGGTAGCTACAGCCATGCGCAATTCCTACGATGTCCTCACGCAAATTCCCNNCCCCCCCCCCCCCCCCCCATTTTGTCAGAGCTGGAACAACGGGCATCCAAACTTGCACCAGACTTCAATTATGGTCAGATGTCTTCAGCGCTTGACTCTTCCCGGGCGGTAATGCTCTTGCCCGCATTTTGGGCTACTCAATGTAGCGATCAGGTGCATTCGATTGATGCTGTCTACGCAGTGATGACCAACACTTGCAAAGAAACCAGAAGAGTGCCCCAACAGCTGCGGCACACTGCATTAGAGTTCGTTTGTCTTCTACTTCAGACCAGTCCAGAAATTTCAGCTTTTCTAGTTACATTCGGACCGGTTCTTTGAAGTACCAGTGGACTGATAGATGGACCCTGTGCGCAAGAGCAGGTAGCAGCTGCAAGACGTCATGGACGCCCAACGGCTCTACCTCCGGCGAACAGCCCGGCCCTTGGCTGTGAGAATCCGGAGAGTGCCTGTGGTGACATGACCGGGGCTTTGGGGCTGCACTTCCCCTTCAGGGTAGAAGAGCATGGACTTGCTGCAAAAGATATCGTAAGTGTCATTCTGTCAGGGCACTCCGAGCTTTGACGCGAGGCGGGAGCACCGCGCCATCAGTCGGCGAACGATTTCCGCAGGGGTCCCGGACCGTCAGAGGCCCTCAGAGCATTCTGAGCTCCAGATGCCGCTGGCCAGGCCGTGGTGGCTGCTGTGGAAGGCCATGGCGGCGAGACGAAGGCTTAGGGTCTATAATGCACCCGAAGCTACCACTCACGGCTTGAGTTGAACATGTCTTCGTTAGTCCCCATAGAAGCCTCCACACAGGATACCTGGACGTGCTGTCCTTGCGGCCGCCGAGAGGAGGCTCCACGTCTGTTCTCCCAGATAGCCGTAGCTCTTTGGAGAGACGTCGACGGTGTCGTCGTCGTAGTAATCGTAGCACGAGCAGTGGCAAGAGCAGCAACAGCGGCAGCAGCAGTGGTTGAAGGGGCCGAAGTTGTACTAGACTAGTAAAAAGTAATTGAGGTAATGTGTCATACGGGGCAGGGCAAGAATAAATAACAGGCAACAGGTAGTGGGTAGTGGGTAATAGGTCATAAGCAATGGACGAGAGGCATGAGGCAATAGGCAATCGGCAATCGGCAACAGCTAACAGGTAATGGGAACTAGTACCAATACGGAATAGGGATAGGAATAGGAATAGGAGTAACAGTAGCAGTAGCAGCTGCAGCAGTGGCGGCGGCAGCGGCAGCGGCAGCAGCAGCGGCAGCAGCAGCAGCAGCCGCGGCAGCCGCAACAGCAGCAACAGCAGCGGCAGCAGCAGGAGTAGCAGCAGTAGCAGTGGCAGTAGCAGTAGCAGTAGCAGTAGCAGCAGCAGCAGCAGCAGCAGCCGCAGTGGCAGTGGCAGTGGCAGTGGCAATGGCAGTAGCAGTAGTAGTGGTGGTGGTGGTGGTGGTGGTGGTGGTAGTGGTGGTAGTGGTAGTAGTAGTAGTAGTAGTAGTAGTAGTAGTACTAGCAGCAGCAGTAGCAGCAGTAACAACTAACACTGTTGCCGTCTTCGTTGCGCATGAGTAGGAGCAAGAACGAGAGATAGCGGGTAAGAGTGACAGCAAGAGCAGTGACGGTAGCAGTATCAGCCATGATAGCTGCAGGCACGGCAGAGGTATCTGAACTTGCGCAGCTGGATGTGATGTGTAGACTAGACATTCGAACCCTAAAGCTGTCGAGACTGCAGCCTTGCGCAGGAGGCCGAGTCTGAAAGCTCCACTGAGGAAGGCTGGACTCCAAAAGCATAGGCTTTGACCAATATGTTGTGAAGTGAACGGCGGGCCCCTGGCGTGAGTAGTACCGTGTCGGCACAGTTCTCAATGTCGCTACCGAGCCGCCGCTGTTCCACCGAGCTTCGATTACTTTGGTTTTGCTTGTCCAGACGAGTCATATCTGCCTCTGGCTGCCGGATGCAGGTGATGATGCAGGATGAGCAGAGCCGACTCCACGTGCCCAATGTTCTCATGCGAAGGGGTCGACAGGTAGCAGCAGCTTGAAGGAGTGCCTAACAGCGTGAATACTTCCAGGAGCTCCGGGATCTACCTTAAACACTAGCCCCGAGAAAGGCAAACAAGTGCGCTGATGAAGGCAGGTGTGCCTTAAGTCGCGAGCACACCAACACGCGAGTGTTTAGCCTGCCAACGTTGCAGGCCTTAGCTCTTGTGCCACTGGGCATGTCTCGCGTGATCCTGTTGCCGCAGTAGAAAGGGCTTGCATGGAGCGCAACTCTGCAGCATCCTCTCGGCACCGAGCCACCATGCCAAGGTCGTGGTGCCAATGCCCCGAGAGGACAGCAAGACATTGCAGCAAGCCGTAGAAAGCCAATTCCATTGGCCACATGTGTGTCAGTTCCTGCCATAAGCTCGAGGAAGCCCTGCTCCAGCTGCACTTCCGGAGGGTCAAGGCCAGAATGCAAAGCCCTTCAGGTCATGCAAAAGGGCAGCTGTTCAGACATGTCTCAATCGTCCCTGCATGTCAGGCGCAGGCCCTGCAGCAGAGGCCCCGGCACCTGCAGCCAAGCGAAGCAGCGGCTCGGTTCCCAGAATATCTGAAAAGTTAGCATTCTGCAAGCTCCGCGGAGTACTGAAATTCAGGTAGCTAGGCAGCAGATAGCATCGAACAACAAGTGGTATCTGCACATCGCACATGCCCGTACCACATCTCCAGGTTTGCCCCAGAACTCACCGACAGCAGAGGCACATGATGTCGGTTTGCTTGCGTTCCGACATTGCGTTCGGTTTACACTGGTGGCGAAACAGGCACAGGACGCTCCAGAATAGGAACGCCTCTGTGCTGCGCAGAGGTTGCTGGTTGGGAGAGTGCTTTTTTTGAGTTCGGAGAAGTCACTCGAATCAATCCTTCTTGTACATGCACGACAAAGCTGAGAATAGACAGCGAGGCAGGTGAAACATTAGTTTGCTGGACCTCTGACGAGGACGATGCTTTCCACTTGTTGGCATGAAAGGACCTACAGCGTGGCCTCAGCAGCGGCATCACCTGCGTGCTGCCCGTGGAGGCAGATATGTTCCAGTTGAAGTAAAGAGGAGGATGGATGATTGGACTGTCTTGAAGGCACATGGTACGAATCGAGAGCTCCATTCGGGAAGAAAGAGCCAGTGCTGAGCGTTTGCCCAGGAGCAGCGCCGGGTCTATGTGGGAACTGTCGAGGGCCGGGCTCGGGAGCCTGGACAGCCTTCAGCAAACATGATCAGATTCCGACGAAGGCTCACCGCGTTGCCTCTGTGAGACCTCTGCTCCAAGGTCATCATTTTCAGCACCGAGAACGATTTCTCAGCAGCTCAGCATTCTTCAGCTCCAAAAAGAGGCGAGTCGGAGTCGGATCGCATTTCAGGTGCTTCGGTGGGTCCACCTCGAGGACGCCAGCCCGGTCACCTGCATCGACGTGGCTCCTTGGGCCGAAGGCCCTTCGGACGAAGAGCCGCGGAAGTGCGCTCATCCCTGGTCAAGCCTTAGGTGTTGAAGTACCAGATGGGGAAGAGCCTGGGCTCATGGCTGTGGGCACGCAGGCGCCGCGGGGTGAAAACAAGTGTCAGCTTCGTTGTTTGGGTATAAACATAAACTTACGGTTTCTGCAAACGAAGAGCAAGCCATAGATTCGTTATCAAGGAAGAATTGACATCAGCGCAAAAATACATCCACGAGTAGATCAGTGAATCTTTCAATAAGTAGGTGTTGATATGTACGAGCCAATCACTACATCAGTCCTTCCCTGGCCTTAGGAGGGCGTGGCCCACATCTACAGCCTCGCCAACCTTCGCTTGGCGGGCACCGTGAATATCCCAAGAGCACTGCCCGAAGGCACGCGTGGGGTTTTGGGGTTTAGGGATTGGGTTTGAGACTTAAGATTTATAGCCACAGAGGGAGCGGGTCCGTCTTGTCAAAAGAAACATGGCCCAAAGCAGAATAGGGAAGATCCGCCAGGTGAATTGCAGCCTGGGTCTGGGCTTCGGCACATGAGGTGCCTTGCATCCTTTCTTGCTTCCGGGACACATCGCGAATGCTGGTGCCTGGAAGACAGATAACAAGATAAAACTGGCTGGTGCGGAGCAGGTGTCTGGTGAGCGTGTTTCGAGTTGGTTCGAGCATGCAGGATGATCCAGATTGCGGCAGAACCACTACTTCCTGTGACGTCCCTTGGCATGGCTGGTCGGTTTGGAGAGGAAGCTAGATTGCAAAGGATGTGGGCGACTGTCCGCTGTATACCCTAAAGCCTAAGACCCTAAACCCGGAAAAGTCGAAGGCGGAAAAAAGGCCCTCAAGACAGCAGCCCTAAAGACCGGGTGCTAAGAGCGTGCGAATGTCTCCCCTCCGTGAAAGGCTGCTGACCATCGACAGCCAGTCCAGGCTTCGACTTTGGGGTCTCAAGGTCCATGCCTGGGCCCCAAGAACAAGAATATATACGTAATATATATGGTAAGTAAGTACAAGAAGAAGGAGTAATTAGGCAGTTAAATAGATAATGTAAAAAGTAGCTAACTAAGCACATGTGTAAACAAATAAATAACCAACAACACAACTACAAACATAAATTTATACAAAGGCAAATAAATATAAATATAAATAAACAAGTAAGTATGGATGTGTATATATATATGTAAGATGATAGATAATTTACACAATACAGCAAAGTACTAAATGAAAAAGAGAGAATATACAACTAATGTCTCATGTGCTATATAGATAAGACAAGTGCTTTCATTGGCCGCTTTGAGCCGTGGGTTCTTGGTTCAGGGGTTGGGCCTGTGGCATTCGGGGCTTTCAGATGCTTCTGAATTCAGACTACTGCGACTACTACTACGGCTATTGCGACTACGACGACGACGACGACTACGACTACGACTACGACTACGACTACGACTACGACTACGACGACGACGACGACTACTACTACTACTTAAGGTTTAGGGTTTAGGGTTTAGGTATGCTATAGCATGCACACGAAAGCCCTCCAGCTAGCAGCATGCACATGTATGCGTGTCGCAAGATCCTTTGACGAGGCAATGCCCTGTTTGTGGCACAAACTAGAGCAGTTTGGACCACGAATTGTGAAATGCATTGAATTGAAATATGCAGCCTACGGGACACTTTCGCTCCATTTCATGCACAAAGAGGGCTTTGCGCTTGGGTAGGGCAGCCTCTGGACATTTAGTTGCATAGTCCAAACATTTGTGAGACGTGTGTGAGAGCCATGGGCAACGTGTGCCAGTGTTGTGGGGCACGAGAAAAAGATCCATCCTCGCTGCCAGACTATGCCTCGGGTGGAAACTCGCAGCACGGGTTCGCCCTCGCGAAGAATGACCGTGGCCGGATGGAGGACGCCGTTGCCATCAGCGACAATGTTGCGGGACACGCCTGCTTCGCTGTGTTCGACGGGCACGGAGGCGACAAGGCCACTGTGCTTGCCAAGCAGTTCCTGCCACTGCAACTGGAAAAGCACCTTGAACAAGAGAGCAACAAGGAGGAGGCAGCCCATCAAGCATTCGCAGCAATGGACGAGCTAATGCAGAAGCAGCTGGCAGAGGAAGCTAAAGTGTTCACAGCCGGCACTTCGTCCGGGACTGTAGCATGCATTGCGCTCCTTCAGGAAGACGAGCTCGTCCCTTTGAACCTGGGGGACTGCAGGGCAGTTGTATGTGAGAATGGAAAGGTGGGCACAAGTACACGAGACCACCATCCAGAAAAGAATGACCAGGAGAAGCAGCGCCTGGAGGAGCTCGGCGTCTGCATCGAGGGGGGTTACGTGGATGGCAAGGTGCAAGTCTCTCGTGCCCTTGGGGACATTGTGGACAAGACGGGACAGAAGATCCTGGGTCTCAGCAACACGCCCGAGGTGACCAGCATCCAAGTCAAGAAGACGACAGAGTTCGTCATCCTGGCCACAGACGGAGTCTGGGACGGCTTACGTGAACAGCTTGCCATCACCACCGCTCGGAAGGTCCTGCGAGAGACCAAGTCTGCAGAAGGAGCCGCAAAAGCCGTGCTGGAAGCAGCCGGCAAGGTTACCAAGGCCGACAACGCAGCGGTGATTGTGGTGTCGCTGAACATCCCGGAGCCGCTCCCTAAAAGGGATGCGCCCCCGAGCCGCTTCCAGCGGAACTCCAAGACGGAGTGATGCCATTGATTCATGTTGCAAGTGCATGCCATAGATGCCTCGCAGGTCTATTCCTGCTGTTACACGAGGCATCGCCACAGAACCATGTGAAGGAATTTGAAGAAAAGGCTCTTCCTCCCCTGCAAAAGATCCACAAGATGCAGTTTCGAGTACTTGAGTATCAGCTGTTCAATCCCAATCTGAAGTCTTATGTGACGAACCTCCACAAACCGCAGTCATTCACAGGAGCCTGAAGGCTGTATAAGGTTATCCTGTCTAGACGATAGCCAGATGTGGACCGTGGCCCTGGTACTGTGCCGAATGATCTCGTCACTGACTGCATCGCATCACATCAGATGCACTACCATGCACTACCATTTGGTCTGCACTCTGTAAGGTTCTCAGAGGAGCCTTTCACACCTTTTTGCTTTGGCGTACTACGTTGCTATGCAGTATGCGCAGCCATGTTGGCATTGCAACGGCATAGCAGCAACGAGCCGACCTGATTGCCACAGTATGATAGTGGCAGGGCAGAACATGTCGTTGATTGCTTACAGGCCGATGCCTGTTGTTCGAAGAGGCATAGGTACAACCGCGTTTGAAGGCTCAACTGTGACTGACTGCACTGCTTCCACTTGGAACAGCAGCGTTTGAAGCAGCACTACTTTCCTCCACCTACACCGGAGATAGGTTCGAGTATCAGATATCCTGTTATGTTCAATCTTAGCGCGCCACGGTCCAAACAGTCCTCGCAAACCCAGTTTTAAACATTCGGCGTAAACAGGCTTTCTGATCTTTTGCGATCTAGAACCACAAGCGGTGAAGGCTTCAGCACGTGGGATCATTCGCTTGTTTATAGTACAAATCATGAAGAAAGATTCCTTGCTTGGCTGTTCTGTGGCCTCTGTTCATATTGACGATAGAACCCCCCGCACATCCGAAGAGTTCTCCGGTAGCGGATGGTAGCGACTTCTGGAAGCCGACCTGCCTCTGCGATTTCGGACATTCTCAGGTCCAATCGGGCCGGCTACAGCAATTGAAACTCCTGCAAGACGCCTGGGTTTGCTTGTGGCTTCGCACGTGGATTCCTGGTATTTAAAGCCGCAGCGGGCTCTTCTTTTGAGGGAGTCTGGTGTTTTGCTCTTCGCGACAGCCGGCTCGTGCTGCTGGTACCACTTTGGAGCTTTCTGCGAGGCTTGATGCCGGTCAGCTGCGAGAGAGCGCTTGCATCCCTGCCGAGTGGTACAGTCAAGCACTCAGTGAAGCCCAAAGCTAACATCGGTCGGTGCGTGCCGACGTCGAGTTAGCTGGGTGGCGTTTGCCACAGTTCAGTAGCAGCTCTTGTCATTCACAACTTCAGCTCCTGTCGACGGTGTGGAACTCTGTTGCCGAGATCGCCTCAAGCAGAAGCGCGACCATGAGGTACCATACCCTCAGCCGCTGAGTGTTACACGACAACAGAAAGTCCTGCAAGCACGATCGCCGTCTCAGTAATGCAACGTGACGGGAAGTGAAGCCGCAGAAGTTTTGAGAAGTTCGGCCCGGAGTGCCGGCAGCCAGGTACGGTTTGTGTTGCTCGCTTCGCCATCGCAGAAGATGCAAGGGGAAGGGTGTGGAAAGAAGAATTGCTTGGGCAGCTGCAGAAAGCGGCGGACAGGCGAAGCTGCGGAAGAAGAAGCGTGAAGAGGAGATGAAGGCTGCCAAGGCGTGCATCTGTCTTTTTGTGAGTCCACGCCCAGTCTCTGTGACACAGTGCCTCTGACCGCACCTCGCCATGCAGAGGCCAGGGCCGGAAAGGATGAGACGGCAGAGCAGAACCCAGAGGTCCACCGGCCACGCGCTTGCAGGCACTGGCAAGGCTCCAGGATTCTTGGTGCTGTGCAGGCAGAGGCCCAAGAAATGGAGGGCCAGAATCTGGATGAAGGCGCCTGCTGCAACTGAAGAAGTGGCCGTCGTACAGCATAAAATTAAAAGACACACGAGGCTCCCAAGGGGAGGGAGAAAACCTGGCCACAGCCTCGACTCCTTGACTTCTCTCTCAAGTTTCAATGTAGGCACCGTAGACTTCACCAGGCTGCCGAAGCTCGTTGGACCAGCACCGAGTCTGTACGCGCAGCCGCCATGTCAGTTGAATAGTTGTGTTCACGTCTCGCGATGCTAACTTGTGCCTTCGAGTGTTGGAGGCCTTCAAGGCTGTACGATCGTCCGATGTTTCGCAGGCTGCATGTGCCCCCACTAGAGTCCCCAAAGATGCACCTAGGGCTTCTTGAGCAACGCGAAGTAGCCTAGGTCCATGTTCTTGCCTTTGTAGCAGCGCTCGCCAGGCATCACAGCATTTGCAGCCCTTCCTCGTGGCCGCAGCCCCATGAGGAGGGGCCATTGCTATCATGTTTGGCCGGCACGTCCCCTGACTCGCTCCTTTTTCGTTTCCCCTCCAAGTCTCCAGCTCTGCAAGCCGCTGGTCCGCGCGACACTAGCTCTGCTTGCGCCCAGCAGAGTCTGACAGCTCGGACGGAATGGTTCCGGATGCGAAGTTGCAAAGATCCCGTCGTGGTGCGGCCGAAGCGAATCAAACGAAGTGTCTGATGCATCCTGATACAGGACCGACAGCAACAGCATGGGTCCCTTGTTCATCCTTCAAGGATGGCAAGACCTAGCCGCTTGAAACGGAAGAGGAGCATGGACCTGCCGACAGCGTTGGAAGCACCGGGACATCCGACAGAGCCAGGCTTGGCTAAAGGTCAGTTAAGCATTCAGTCGGAGCAGCCAGCCCGGAAGAATCCCAATCTGGGCGCAAATTCGTCGTGAAAATGAAAAGTGGCAGCTGCCCGGTGGCTGAAACTCTGAGATGAAATTTTGTTCGGTGTGCAGTTTGGCAACGTGCCTAAGGGATTAGGCAAGTCATTGTTCTGGCTGGTGGTGGGGATGCTGTGTCTCAATCATCGGTTTGCCACAGTCCAGAAATGCCCTTCTCTCCATGCCAACGTTCCAGAGTTCATCACTGCAGTCCGGCATGTTTCGGAACACGTACATAGCGTGCTCGTCACTGTGTTGTTGAAGCGACGTTTATCATGTCCGGGTGGGGGGAAGGCTATGGGCCAAGATGAAATCTATGAGCTCAAGAAGCCCAGGTCCTGTGCAGCTGCCGATCGATTGCCTGGACAACCAGCCCTTCGAAGGCTTTGCAAACCGTGCGAAACTCGCAGAGACACGCGGAGACTGCTCCGATTAAGGACCCACCACATCGGCCACGGCTGTGGCCCAAGAGTCGCTTGGACAATTTGGGTTTTGGGGCTTTTAGATTTTAGGGTTTAGGCCCACTGCTCTTTTTTTTCCTGTGTTTCCAGCGTGCCTTTCTGTCGAGGAAGAGCACGCCCTTCTTCCAAGCCAAGGCCGACAAGGTGGGAGGACGTGATGAAGGGTTGCATTCCAGGGAAGCAGCACTGTTCAACTGCAACTCTTGGATTTCTCCACAAACTGAAACTTCACAACTGGCGCAACTGCCCTGGGATGAAGGCATGTGAAGGCATTTTTCGACAATTTCATGGCGGTTTAATAGGAGGTCATAGTGTCAGCTACCGGATCACTGGTCCGGAGCCTGGAGCTTGGGGCCTCTAATTATGGGGCCTCTGGTCTCCCCTCGAGTCTCATCTTGTGTTGTGGGCGTCCCAGCAAGGCTTTGGGATGATGGAAATTGCGCGCAGAAGTCTTGGATCAGGCAGAGAAGGAGCCGGCCTCGTCCCTCTTCATCACCCAGCCTCCAGGCCTGGAGGGAAGGTAGACTCGTGCCAGGGATGTGAGTTACTGCTGCAGCCCCCTGAATTCAGTCACAATCTGATCTCTGAAAGGCAGGCCTACGAGGAGTTCTGAGCTTGTTTCCCCCGCTGTCAGGTGCAGCTCGCCTCCTCGGTAAGGCGGCCGAGGGTCTTTTCGGCATCTTCGGGCCGTGCTGGTAGGAGGATGTGGAGCGCAGTGTGGATGGGTTCAGGGCCACTTTCTTTTTTGAAGCGCCTTCTGATAGATGCTGTTGGAGTTAGGCCCCGGGGGCCGGTTGGGACCCCTCCGCAGAACTCCGAAGCGCCGGGCTAAAGGCCGACGAGGAGGCTCCGGCAGAGGAGTTCTCCGGCAGTGACTCCGATGGCGATGCCACGGCCTCGGGGTCCTCCACGCCCTTCAGGGCTGAGGTTCTAGAAGTGAAGGAATCCAGAGATCGGTGCGGTGGGCATCGGGGTCTTCAAAGGGTCCATGAGATGGTAGAAGAGATTTTGAGGGACCCGAGTTTGAGCCAGTTTTTTGGACTCGGGCTGCAGGCCTCGATCTTCTGTGTCTGCAAGATAAGTTCGTCCAGATATTCTTACAAAGCCCGCGGAAGCGAGACTGCGAAAGGGTTGCAGAGTTACTCTATCACTGTAGTCATGCTGATAACGATCAACTCTTGCAGACACGAGCCCAACAGCCAAGAGATACAAAGGGATCACGTAGTGCAGCTCTGCTCGAATGAGCAGCCAGGTGCTTACGTTGTGTTCTGGGTTTCCTGATTTGGGGAGGGCAAAGGAGGGCCTAGCGCAAGAGCGGCTCTCCTTGGAGGCTTTTTCCTAGTCGGTTAATGAGTGGCAAGTAGAGATCTCAGAGGCCTGAGACGCATGATGCCTGCGAGCCAGTCTTAGATTTGGAGCTTCCAAGTAGCGCTCCTGAGGCTGATGAGATTGTCACCCAGCGTTTCGCCGAAATGCCAAGGCCGGTCTCGCCGAATAGCAGAGCGCTCTAAGTTTGCAGTGGAAGTCTGTAATGCCGTCTCGTTCGGGACACTCTGATCTGTCCCTACGGAAGGCTGCCGTCGTCGGCGCCCAATGCGCTCATGCTGGGTGACTCTGTGCAGCTCTCAGGTTTGCTCAACATATTCTAGATACAGACCCGTGTTCGTTCATGCATGCGAGTTCCGCGCCAGGCCGCGGCAGAGTCTCTTCGAGCAGCAAAAGAAGCCGTGCAGACCCCTGGGAGGGAGATCTCACTGCTTGAGTCGGCAGTGAAATCGGCCCTGAGGTAGCCGAGGAGCTGGGTGGCTCTATTGGCGATGGTGACTCGCTGGCCGGATTCCCAAATTCCGTTCCCACAAGCCAAGCCAAGAAGATCTATCCGGGTAGGAATCCAGGTATGAATCATGGCAGCTTACAGGTAGCCGGGTGCGAGGAGCTCTTGTATTGGAATTTTCCGAGACCCGGATGTTGAAAGCCAGGCCCCGGAAAACAGTTGAAAGTACATGAACTAGTTTTGGAACCCACGCAACTAAACAGACGCCTGCTGCAACAGCGACTGCTGCTCGGCGAAATGTGCACCTCACGCAGTTCTTTTGCTCTGGATTTTGACTCTGAAAAGAATATGAAAAGAGCGATGCAACGCATGTGGGGTCGTCACTTTCTTGATCTTGCAGTTTTGGTGTCTTAGCCTCGAGCTGTCCTTCCACTGTCTGTGTGCACACTGCATAGTGATAGGGCCCTTTTGCTTGCCGCACAACGGCCGTGGGAAACATCTGTGGCACAAGAATGTTCGCTGTCAGTGAGGATGTGGCAGGCTGCAGGCTCTTGACATCCGATGGTCACGGTACGGAACGGGAAGATCAGGCGACAAAGCCAGCAAACCTAACTCGGCAGCTGCTGCTCGAGCAGCTTCAGCAGCATTTGCAGCAGGCGTGTTGCAAGAAGAAGGCCGGCACCCCTGTGTTCACGGCCCTTGATGAACGTCTGTGCTCGTTTTTGCTTGAAGAGGACGGAGGAGACGATTGTGATGTCCGACACGTCTTCCAGCACCGTCACATGCACGGCCCTGGTGAAAGACACAGAGATAAATTATCATTAAGTATCATGCTAATGCAGAAGACTGCCAAATAGTGGTGTGAAGGCAGCACCACAGAGATCCACAGAGGCAAAGACCTGAAAATAACGAGAACGAAAAGGACGCGCTTGGAGGAATTGGGGGTCAGTGTGAATTGAGGCCGGAGGCCTCCTCATGGTGACCCGCATTTCCTCCACAGTGGCGGTTATGTGGATGGGAAAATCCACGTGTATGGCGGCATTAGCAAGAATGGCAAGCAAACGGGGCTTGGTATCATGTGCACTCCAGTGCAGATGACACCAGGCACTTTTGATCGGCATTCACATTGTGAGCATCCGAGATACCACGGAATTCGTCATTGTAGCGACCGACGCTGACGGGGTGTGGGATGCAATGCGCGAGCAGTTAGCCGTGGCAACCGCTCGCACGATTTTGAGGGAGACTCGGTCCAAAAGCAGAAAATAGAAGCGAAGCTTCCAAGGCAGATACTTCGGCCGTAATTGTTTTTTTTCCTGTGCAATAGCATTCTAGAACCCTGTCTGAAACGCGAATCTCGAGCAGTCTTTCCAATTTTCTTCGGGGAAGGAGTGAGATATGCATAGGCATCATCCGTCGACGACTAGCAGGCATATGCCTGCTGTTCCAACAGGTATCGGCGTCTGCACTTTTGAAGGCGCTTGAAGCAAAAGTGTTGCTGTGATGAGTGCGGGTGCATGTTCCACACTTGGGGCTCTGTTCTCATCGTGCCAACAAAAGCGGCGACAACGACAGCAGCGACATTAGAAACAAGCACGGCCACGAAGCAGCAACTAAAGCAGCACATCTGGGCGTTGGAAAGCATTTCCCTGCTTCACCGGCTCAAGATCTTTGCCTACACTGTCATCAAGCCGGGAAGCGGGCTTGCTTCCATTTTGAAGCGACGAACTGCAGAGCCTGAGGTTTTCATCGCTGATTCCGGTGGCTGGCTGTGGTGTCTGGACATCGAGCTGCTCTCAGTGAGGGTTGAGGGTTTAGGGTTTAGGGGTTAGGGTATCTACCGCAGCACTCTGGTTGGCCCGAGGTCTTCTAGATGTCAAGCAGGATGTCTGGTGGTGTTTCTCCAGTTTGTGCCCAGCAGCCTCGCGATGCGTAACACGTCGAGGACCCTGAACCGGCCTAATCCCCAAATCTCAATCGAAGCTCTATACCCCCAACTCGAAGCGTCAAGCCCCTGCCATATTCCATCCCTTTTGAGAACAACAGCCAGGTTACCCATAGTCCGCCCAGAAACTCTCCGAGGCTGCCTCCCTTTCTGCTGCTGCGTCCTCCCCGCCCGTGGTTTGACGCCCTGGGCGGGTGGAAGTTTTTGTTGTTTGAGCTTGACGTTTTGTGGTTTCCCGTTCAAAGCTCTGCTGATTTGGCAGAGTGCAGTTGAGGCCATAGCCTTGGATGTCGCCATGGTCGCGAAGGCTTTCGCTTGTGCGCATGGCCACCCAAGACTGCTTGCAATGAGCCGGAGGTCTGTGCAGTACTGTAGTGATTGATCATTAGACCAGCTTCAACATGTCGAAGTTGCAGGCGCACGAGGAGATGATGAAAGATCGCGGCGAAAAGAGAAACAAGAGGTGCCCTTCGAGCGATGATCCGACGCCCTTCCAAAGCTTGCAGGGCAGAGTGTAACTAAAGAAAGCTTACTCTTACAGTAGGTTTGGGCTTTCCTCAGACCGCAGCGGAGCAGTCTGACTCAAAGATGTGCTTCCCCCTTGCGGCACCCGGCACCCGACTTGAAACTTTCTCAGTTGCAGGCCCAGGGGCTGCTTGATTGCAATGAGATAAGCTGCGCTTCCAAGAAGGCTTGGGAGGCTGTTTGGTATGGCCTCAAAGGCTGCCTTCTCTCTCTGCCAGCTGGCGTCAGCTGTATGCAATTCCCAGTGTGTTGACCTTTGCCATGTTATGCGACCCGAACCCAAGCTCCTGCCACTTTGTCAACTTGATGGCAACGGTTGCGCTGAGGCACCACCGTGGCTGGCTTAGTCGGTTCATCGCAGCCGTCACAGCACTACTGCAGAGACGGGAGGATATTCTTCGTGGGTGCAATCGCTACAGTATTAGGTTTCTGTATAAGGTAGGTCAGCTTCTGGCATGTTGGGCTGGATGCGACAAGGTAAAGACTTGACACACAGTGATCTGCCAGGGATGGTAGTTACTTCTAAGGATCCTCACAATCAAGGTTCAGTTTCAGCGAAGTTCCCCAGTGTGAACGTTCTAAGGTGGATCCCCGGATCCAGGCCCAGGTGGCGAACAGCCCCGCCGCAACCGGCCTGCTCACAGGCCAAACCAGACCTGGCAACGGGTCATTCTACAAAACAGAAAATAGATGCACATTAAATTGAGTAAGTGAGTATGTATGCATGTATGTTATGTATGCATGGGTGTTCGTTTGTCATGTATGTATGTATGTATGTATGTATGTATGTATGTATGTATGTATGTATGTATGTACGCATGCACGCATGCATGCATGCATGCATGCATGCATGCATGCATGCATGCATGGCTGTCTGTCTCCTTTTTTGCTGGGATATAGTTCATAACATGTACGTTAACAGACATAAGCAGACATAAG